AGAAGATTTCATTGCTGAAGCTCTTGCGCAAAAACCTTATTGGACAAGACTCGGTCAGCGAAAACATGATTCACTGGACTTCCTGACCATGAAAATCTGATTGGTCGAAAGCTCAACGTCAAAAAACGCCTGATTGGCTGGATTTTTGGCATGAAAAAATCCGATTGGCTGAAAGCCCAATATCGAAAACCCCTGATTGGCTGGATTTTCGGCATAAAGAGTCCGATTGTTGAAACGCCACATATCGAAAATTTCCTCGAAGCAGATGTTTTTTTGACCCTGACACAAACACAGACGCATACAACCTTATTTTATTTCATATGACCCTCCCTACAGCCGAGGGAATAAGTAGTTAATAATTAATTAAAACTAACCTCAGATTCGAATTTTCCACCCTCGATTACCCGTTGGTCAAGTTTTATACAAAATGTGAATCATAAATAATTAATTAATAATCAGTTAATAATTAGTTAATAATTAATTAAAACTAACCTCAGATTCGAATTTTCCACCATCGATTACCCGTTGGTCAAGTTTTATACAAAATATTAATAATTAATTAATAATCAGTTAATAATTAATTAATAATTAATTAAAACTAACGTAAGATTCGAGTTCCCCACACTCGATTACCCTTTGGTCAAGTTTTATGTAGAAGCGGATGTTTTTTTTGACCCTGACACAAACAAACCCACAAACACACACACAAACTATTTTTTTTTGTATGACCCTCCTTTCAGTCGAGGAAAAAACTCGAATACTTCGCTAACTTCCCTTACATGAGATTTGCCTGTATTTCTATTGAATTTCATTGCATACCTTTGATGCAAAATTAACGATTTTCACGAACTAAACTTCTAATTTACATTAATGAGTTTTAAAAAACATCAAAAATAATGTTCGTTTTATTATCTATAATATTTTTTTTTTAAATTATTTCATCATTTTTGTAACGATAAATGAAAGGAAAGATGGCGATGACAGACTGGAGGAGTAGCTTACCACCACCCTCGGTAATGATATTTATTAGCTACTTCACATCTCCAGAATGAGTCTATTGCACATTCAATACAAGCTTATATATGATAGAGAAACAAAGAGAGAGAGATGACACAGAGTGAACAAATAGAGAGAGAAAGAGGAAAGAGGAAGAGCGGCGAGCCGTGACGCATATATCGGCACAATTTTTAACGAAAAACCTTCATTAAAATGATTTAAATTACATTACTTTTTTGCCATTATGTTGCTCAATGAGTTTCTTCTAGTTTTTCACGTTGGCAAACTCCATCTAACAAAAAGTGGAAAAAGAACACTTTTATGTACTTGCTAATATTATTAAGTTAAAATAAATTGAATTCTCTCATCATTTTTCATTTTTTTTGTAGTAAACTTGAGTTCTTTTTGTGTTCGGAGATTAACTTACTATGTCGTTCAACTCGAAAAAAAAATTGTCGACTAAGTCAGGTTGAAAGACAGTTTACTATATCTACGAAGAAAAGAGGATGAAAATAGGAACAAAAAGGCGTTCGCAAGACGTTGCTGGCACTCTTTTTGGAGTCATTTTAGTTTTAAGAAAAGTATTTGGATCTTCTTGAAACGTTGTTTGAATGAAATGCTTCTTCAATGATAAAGCACGTTTCAGAAGAACACCAATAGTATCCTGACAACATATTTTCTATTTTGAACGAAAAAAGCTGATCAAACTGTTCATCGTGCTCCGGAATATGTTCTATTTCTGATCCACCACCAATCGCAGACAACTGTCACCTGTACCAGTGCAGTTTCCTTCTTACTCAAGGCTTTATTGTTTCAGTGTGTTATAGTGTAAGGTTCCAGGAACGTGTTTGACTGTAGTTTGAGTGTGATAGCAAACGCCCACGCTGTCTTCAATATTGGATGTGTGAAATCTTTAAAATGAAATGAGTTGATTACTGCATCTCTTTGACTTACTGTAAAGTTTGTCATATGAAGCATGATATCAAAACCCAGATTTGAAATAATTATATAATCTAGCTACCTTATTTTTTCACTCACTCAATTTTGGTGTTACCACAACCAAGTTCCATGTCTGGACAAACGATCGTTTTGACGAAGAATTATGGTTGTGTATTATTGAAATCTATTAGTTCAGCTGTTATTGCACAGTAGGATTTTACGTTCTTGAAAAAAATCCACAGTTTTCTTTCGAGTTCGAGACATCATAATGAGTATTTCAACTTCATACTTTCAGCCAGAGATGGAACCGGTACCGGTTACCGGTCGGTCCGGTCCGGTCCGGTACCGGTCCGGATTTCAGACCGACCGGTCGCCGGTAGACCGGTCTATCTTTTTTCTTTCCTGGTTTTATTGCATAAACTAGTTAAATCTGCGAAATCTTGATGCTATCTTGTACAGAATACATATGAAAATTTCGGTGGAAGTCGATTGCCTGAACTATCACTATCGAAAAGATAGAATTTATATTAGTAAAAATTGTGTACCGGCCGGTCTACCGGTAATCGACCGGTCTACCGGTGACCGGCCGGTCTACCGGTAGAGCGGTCGTGACCGGTAGACCGGCCGGTCACCGGTAGACCGGTCAATTGCCGGTAGACCGGTCGAACTGGTAGACCGGCCGGTCCGGTCCGGTCTGACCTGTTTGGACCGGTACCGGTACCGGTCTTCAAAAATCCAGACCGGTTCCATCTCTGCTTTCAGCCCGCATGCTGCTAGGTCATGCATAAAGAGATGAATTAAGCAGCAACCCAGTACTCTAGCAAGATCACAGTAAAAACGAATGAACAAGAGCGATGTAAGCATTGAGCTTTCTGGCCCTCTTTTAATAATGCAACATCATCTTAACCATTTGTCTTTTGTTTCGATGAATGCTCTACTTTTTCTCAATACACTTTCTATCTACATCAATTGCTCTCTTGAAATTACTGTTGTTTTCAACTTTCCACTATATGTAAGAAATCATAAGTAATTGAAGTCACTTCAAAAACCCTCGAAGACCATGCGTATTGGCGAACTATTTTCCGTATAAGAGATAAAATCTTTTATCGAGTTTTGCTGGCTTTGCATTAACTATATGTAATATCTTTATGATTACACAATCAGTTTGAAACAAATACAACCAGAATAATGAATGAAAATGGCGATATTTTTTATTATTTTTCTTTGTCACAATCGATAAAATGTGTATAATTTTAATCGATGTAGAATGGATTTTTCGAAATAGTTTTGTTTACATGAGTAGCTTGCGTCAGTTAAATGGATAAAAAAGTGTTTTTGTTTTTCTTAACGAAAAAGCTTACTTTTTTCATCATTATTATCATCGGAGGCGATCAACAAAGATTCACGATGCTTCTTTATGTTTCTTAAATCAAATTGCAAAAATCTTCGACTTAACAAAAAATTCTACAATTTAGTTTAAGACGAAGTCGAATGTTGTACTCGTCGCAGTGAAAGTCACCGGTCATTGTGCGAGATTAGGTTTTTACCAAAATAATTGTTAACCACCAAGTGTTACGAATTATTTCATAATCTCAACAAATAAATACCGCAATGGACTGCCGGAGCTCTTGTGAGTGTAAGATGGGTATATGGGCTTGGGTGAAGGGAAGACCCACATTACTACATACCCTTTCTGCACTAGGGAAATAAGTTTACCTATAGATGATCCTGCGATCGCTCTTAGCGTATGATAATTCTACTACTAGATCGAATTGAAATTGACAGAATTTCTTTTCGTATGGGTGCAATTGGGAAGCATCTCCATCAATCTAAAATGGTAGTTGATTGTTATACACGCGCACCAGTTGTCTAGAAAAATTGCTTACCAGACTTCAAGTCTCATAAAAATCAGCGCTGTGATAATGATAACTCTTATATAAATCCTATCTTTAAAAAAGTCTTATCACTTTTTAGGTTCGAACCTTTCGAATTCATCTCATTTATTAATACTACGCATATGTCTTTGAAATATCTCTTTATACTCAACTTTGATGAACAATAGATGATGTTCTGTAGTAATTCAAAATGAGCCAAAGAGGAAAACGATAAATGTGGAACAAAACAATATTGTAATTTGTCTTGAATATCCTGTCTTTTTTCCGACATGATATGTCTAGAGATGCAACAAATCCAAAGCCTTGAGGTTTGTTATAAAAGATTTGGATTTGAGCTCAGATTTGGATTTGGTTTGGGTGTGGGTGTGCGTGTGCGTGTGCGTGTTGGTATTCTCATCTCTAACACCCACACCCAACCACACTCACACTCACACCCGCCCACACCCAATAACCATTTGAGGACTGAATTTTTTTTCAATTGAAAAACGATTCTTCAATCAGCCTGTTATATTTGGTTCAAAATGATCAAATAAAAACCTCATAACAATGTATCGAGAAAAGAGAGAGTGAAATCATGCGTTATTATATAGTAGGAGAAACAAAGGAAGACATGTGAGAAGGATCTATATGATAGGAAGAAAGAGAGAAAAGACCTGCATGAGATGCCAGGTAGGCGACCTATTTACCTTGAAGAGTATAACAGTTTAATATGGAGCAAACATTTTCTTTACTGAAAACTAGGTGGGACAACGTATGTCCCATGATCCTCGAAGGGTTAAATAGAGACTCATGTTCGAGTCAGACGTCGTCGTTATTGGGTTATTGAAGAACTACAACTGCAAATAAACCCGTTTCTAGACCGGCTGTTTGCTTTGTTGTTAATAACGAGGATATTTTAGCGTATCTGCAAGTAGCATCACAGTGGTACCCCTACACTTCGTCCCCTACTTTTCATCCCGTTGCTTTTCGTCCCATTCAATTCGTCCCAATTACATTTCGTCCCATTACATTTCGTCCCCTTACATTTCATCCCTATTACATTTTGTCCCAATTACATTTCGTCCCTTTTCAATTTGCCCCCTTACAATTCGTCACAATTTTATTTTGTCCCCTTACATTTCGTCCCATATTGTAACTATTCATTCTCAGTATAGCAATATGAGATAAAGTTTATTTTAATAAATTTAACTGCTTTAAAACTGATAAGTCCTTATCACATGTGAATATTACCATAGAATCATCTTCATATAGAATAAAACTTTCTCCTCGATCAGTTTGTCGTAATATTAAAGGTAAACGACCATTATGATCAAGTTGCATTGCTGGTCGTTAAATCGAATCGTTTGCAACAATGCGTCATTTGTAGGTAAATCAGTAGTTATAGTTAATGGAATTGTCCGTAATACATCAAATAGTATCGTACTAGCTCCTTCATCTGATGATGCACCACGACTTTTAATTTCATTTTTAAGTCGAATGAGGTGCAGCCGATCTGGATCAGGTACATGAGAATGTTCAGATGGTTCTTTGAGTAATATTTCCATCTGAATATTCGTTTGACAACGATCAAAAAAAATATAAAGCAAAGTTAAAAGATTAGATTTAACGATTTACA